TTTTACTGAAACTAGAAAATGGCAATTCCAGTGAGTAGCAAATCCCTATGAACAAATTACTCATGAATTGTAAATATATCTATATACCAATATAATCAATTTACAATCTTTGGCTAAAACCCTCCATTTAAACATAAAAAGGCATACAGCTGTCAAAATTTAAGAATTCCCACCAAATCAAAGTTTAGGAGGTAATTTTGAATTTCCAGGGACACAAATCAATAAGAAGATGCAATAAGTCTGATTTGATTTAGTACAGCCATTTGAATTCCCACATAAGGTGGCCATTTGGAAAAGGTATACTTCATTTTGGAAATGATTCTTTATCACTTTAAGAAAAAATGAGATTTTCAGAAAAATTCTACATCTTAACTATTTTAGATTTTCACATATCAGAAAAATAATACAATATTTGCAATCTACTCTGAAATGCCATTTAAGAATAATAAAGCCATTTTTCCAACAGACCTCTGAGTTAATAGAGATGAAAAACTTAGATTTTCTTGGAAAATTCACAGCAAATTCAAAGTAGAGATCATCTCCAAAAAAGATATTTCATGTAAAAGTATTTACTAAATAACCTTTTCAAGAGAATATGAAGAAAATCCATCTACTCGTAGTTGCTTTAAATTTCCAGGTGGATAGACAGATAGACTGACTAATGGACGGCCAAAATCCATCTACTCGTAGTTGCTTTAAATTTCCAGGTGGATAGACAGATAGACTGACTAATGGACGGCCGGACGGACAGACAGAGAGCTTCACTTTAACCCAATCAAGCTTTGTCTATTGGGATAAGAATTTGTTTTATCTACCTTTGCGAGGTCTGTGAATTTGCTTCAATGTTTCAATGTGTTGAAAGTCAGCTCAAAGTCACCTAGAACTTTTGATGATTTTATTACTTTTACTGAAACGAAAATGTTTGGTTCAAGGATATAATTCATGTATATAGTATGACCTTGGAATGTTTAAAAATAGTAAATTTTTTCATAAATCTAAAATGTTTGTAACATTTATAGATCATCAAATGCAATAGGGAGGTTAAGTTAACACATTTGATGGAACTTGTCTTTGAAACATGTCAAATTATGGTCCCTTATGTTCTTTTTTCGCTGACTTATTTGTCTGATTGAGTATGAAGGTGTTAGGAAAATAGAGATGGACAGCCATTTGTGGGGGTCATAAAGTTTTCAGCCAATTTTTGAATTTTTAACACAAAATAGATACGGATCCATGTACAATATCATGCATAATTAAGTATTGTTTATCTTTAATAGTAGATGAATGACTAAGGTAGGCAGATACAAAAAGTCGAGAGACAATCAAAAATACTTTTGAGTTGTAATGCAGAGATTAAACCATGGGCTTTCAAGAGAGGGTAACAGGATATGCTTTGAAAACTTCAAAATGAACATTGGCATGCTTCTCTTTTTATCATATTTTCAAAGAGTACTAGATAAATATGTCGTAAGTAAAATCTTGAAAGAAATTAATTTTTGAATAAGATTTAAGCATAAAATATGTCTTACTGTACTCCGGGTATTGTTCGCGTGCGATTTAATTTCGCTTTGTTCGCGAATGTAGTAAAATTTGTGTTTTAAATCCCCGGGGATTTGACCCGGGACTTTTGATAAGTTTCGTTCGGTGTAAAAAGTTCGTCCAGTGTTGTTTGGCGATAATTCAAATAAGGCCTAAAATGTCTAACATTTTGAATTGGCTTATTAGGCCAACGAAGGCAAGAACTGTTGACAACAATGATATCCTACAAATTTAAGTTGAAAAAGCTATTCAAAAGTACTCAAATAAATGCCCTTAACGTGGGAAATACAAACATGATTTGGATTCTGAACAGGCTTAAATTACCGGCGAAATGTCATCAACTCAAATCCGCGAAATTAAATAGCCGCGAAATTGCAATTTTGAAAAATCGCGAAATTTTATAGCGTCGAAATTTACCCGGAGTACAGTATCTCATTTAAAAGTAAACAACAAAAATGAACAAGAAGAAAAACAAGAAGCCTCAAAATGTTCTCCTCAAGTGTTGCATCGTGGGTAATTATTCAGGAACACATTCCAATAAAGATAAAATTTGTGAGAGAACTCAAACGTTTGTATATCCGAGATTTGTTACAACCCCAGAGGGACATCACCAGCCATATCAAAATTGCTGCTTTTTCTCGGAGCCAATTACTTTAATTAAATTATTGCATCACTACATTGCTTGGCTTCAAAATGGTACTTGATTTGCTGGGATAAACCATAATATTTCTATCAAATTATCATATTCAGGCCTGTAGCCAGGGAGGGGGGGGGGGGGTTCGATGGGTTCGAGTGAACCACCTCCCCTGGCCAAAATATCTTTCAAAATCATGCAGTTTTTCATCATTCTGGGCACTTTTTAAGTGATTTTGGCCATTTTTAAACCAAAATTGTCACAAGTGAACCCCCTGGAATATTTCATTTTTGGCAAATCCTACGGGACTGATATTGATTTCTCGAAGCACTCTTCAAACTTTGCAAATTATTCACTGAATGAAACATAAGAATGCGAGGAACTACCTGGGTTATTGACTTTTCCAAGCTATATGCAATTGTCTTGCGAAAATCTCATATGCTACGAAAAGTGGGCCCATTTGATATAATATTTCAACAAATCATGATTTTTCAATCATTAGCGCAATAGACTAGATGTGAGTAGAAATAATCTTGATTTTCGTCATTAAAAATGTAAAATTACATCTAGTAATGTGGTTTTGAAGAGAGTTTATCAACTTTCAAAATTTAATTTTCTTTGAAAATGTGACTTCTAGGTCGGGGAGATTCCCCATAGACCCCATGTTGTAAAATCACAAAATGTGAATATCTTTTCATGTGTTGGGCAGATAATATTTTTCTTTACTGGACATACTTTAATTTGTATAACTTCAAGTATAAGATACACAGTCAAGGGGAATATGATTTGGTAAACCACTAAAACTGATGAATATTCAAGTTTAAGGGAACTTTGTAATACCCTGCCATGTTATTTCCCCCGAATCAGCCACCTGGTGGTAACTACTAGTCTACCACTACACTGGTAACTACGTACCTACTCGCATCTGAGTAATTACATTGCGTTCAACAACTAATATTAGGAACTGCAAGTTTAACAATTCATGATATAAGATCATTTTCACAAACATATTCCACATGATGACTGGAGATCAAAAGAAATCAACTCCAAAGTAACGCAGCAAGTTCCATGAATTTAATATGGAAACTTAAACAACCCCACCACTAGTGACACTATTTATGATTACGATTTACTGTCTATACTGTCTTTTCTGCAGTTTGGGAGAGTTTGTGGCATTATGTCAAAATTCAAGAAAATGTGTCAAATATATTGAATATCCCGTGGAATAAGCCAATGCTAATCAAGCCCAATGTTTTGTCCAATGCCCATCTACAAACCAGAAGAGTAGCAAATCGCAACACTAGGGAAAGTACAAGAGACTAAACCAGCACTAGAGACATTAAAGCACCTAAAAAAGGACATAACCAACCAACCATAATCATAATATATTTATTGCCTGGATTTCCAGTACAGAAAAAAAATGTATAGGTTTACTTTAGTCTAAGGCTTCCATTATATTGCAGCCTTACGCCATGCATAAATCCCTGTGTGTTTTATTCTGCTTCATAAGAGGCATGTCGTGATCATAAAATTTGAGATCAACCAGACGCCATTTTTTCACTTCACAATTTGAATTGCGAGTTTTGGTCTTATTATCTCACAAAAAGTTTCAAAACACACAGGAAGTGATCAGTGTAAGTTCAAGTCTTAGACTATATCCTCTTACCTTCTTCTAAGGCCACTGTATCATGGCCTTCCTGGAAAGATAATTTCCTGCATGAACAATTGGTCATGTCGTAATCATAAAATTTGAAATCATATGTCCGCCATTTTTCCACATCACAATTTGAATTGCGAGTTTTGGTCTTATTACCTCACCAAAAATTCCAAAACACACATGCAGTGATCAGTGTATTAGTTTACATCTTCTGGATCGCTAACTTAGAATTTATAGCCAGTTACTAATGTCAGACGTTAATGACATTTCGTCCAGTTTTCGAATATCGCCATTTTTCTTGGAGCCATTTTGTTTTAATTTTAGACAAAATCATATCATATCTCATCAAGGAGTTGAGTCGGTTCTGATTTAATTGATGATTTATTTATCTGGCGATTTTTAAAATATTCAATAAATTTATGACACCACAGCCAGCTTTTTTCAAATAAAGTTCACAGTATTCCAGATGAAATCCCCTCTAGCCAAGTATTGGCAACAGACTCGAGTAAATATCCTCAAGTCTGAATTTTTTTTTGAAATTTGGATATTCAGTCTATAGGATATAGACTAGTTCAAGTCTTTTAGATCGCTACTTTGAATTTACAGCCAGCTATAATGTCAGACATTAACGACATGTTCGTCCAGTTTTGTCGTTGTCATTGATCATCCGCCATTTTTCTTGGAGCCGTTGATTTAATTTTAGACGAAAGCTTGCAATATCTCACAAAGGATAGTATTTGTTTACATTCTATTTGATGGAATATTCTCATTACGATTTTTAAAATAACACATAAATTTATTTTTACTTCGAATGAGCGTTTTCACTAGTGCACGGTAGTCCACATGCTAGGTCTTCTAGCCAAGTAATATGGCTAGGGACTCAATAAATATATGTGACCTAGTCCAACAACATTAGACCTAGCCTGGGCCTCGTTTCTTTTCTGACATGTCTTATGGCCCCAAGAAAATTCCTAATAATAAAGAACGCCGTTATTGAGTTTAACGACGTTGAACTATAGGTGATCAGGGATAATTTACAGTGAATCATCAGTGAATGTTTTTCCATAGGGTAGTATTACACTGTGCATGATTTATTGTTTTTGACAGATAACTATACTAAAGTTTGATAGACTTTCATTTTCACTGCCTATGAGTAGATATTTTACTTACCAGAACAAAGTACTGTTGCTCCAAAGACAAGTCCTAAATTTGGGGAATTTTTTTGCGAATTTTCATTTAGGTCGATTCTCGAGCTGACCTGGGTATGTTTGGCCTTCGATAATGTTTTTAATGGCCTACAATTACTTAATAGACCTTCGGAATGTATAGTTTGTTGTTTCCCGAGTGATATCTTGCTGGTAACTTGACGAAAAGTTGTGGAAATTGCAAAGCGCACTTGCGCCATTTGTTTAGTTCGAGGGTAATTTGCGAATAATGTGCGGATTATGTCGTTCGCAAAGAAATCTAAACACAGTGGTTGAATGATTTTTTTGCCACGAAAACAATGGTTTCGTAATTTCCAAAAAATGAATCTCCACACGTCCAATTTCACTTTACTGATCTGCTCATAACTGTACGGAACTAATCAATAAATAGTAAATACAATGTATATAAACAGAATTCAAAATACAGGGTATTCCGAATTATGGAACGTGTAAGTTAATTCTAAAAAATGCGCATACGTTGCCCGAGCACAGAGTTTAAATCTAAATTAGTTTTAAACAATAGCAGATAGCTTCATCTTTGAATTTTAAGGCTAGACTAAGGTGTCTTTCAAAACTTACATTCAGAAGAAGCGTAAGTTGTCACTCACTATTCTTTTTTGACTGAAATTCCCAACAAAATTTCCCTGATCATCACCCAAATTTTCTGATTTGGAGAGAATGTGTTATGAGAAACTATAAAGTTCAGTGAAGCAAATTAGAAGGTGGTGTCAAATTACTAGAAGATCGTGCGAAACCTCCTCAAAAAAGCTTTCTTAAAAATACGAACCCACCATTTCCGGCAATTATGCGAACCCCCTCCCCTAATTCTAGGTCAAAGTTTTGTAGTCTTTCAGTAATTTATTGTTGAGATTCATAGCTTAATCTTGAGTAAAAAAGATTGATATTACAGAAAATGATCTAATTTGATGGGCGAAAATATGCTGTATCAGAGTGAACTTAATATACCTACAGTACTTAAGTATTACTGAATTCCCTCAGCTCCTACAGCTAACATACTAACAAATGCAGAGATCCTCAGACACGCCATGGTATGAAAGGATTATATATCTTGCCTATTGTGGTATGTGTGCGAGACAAAGCAGACAATGATTATAAAATACTTAAATACCGTATACCTCTTATAAAGAAAATCCGCTAAATAATCATCGTCGCTTTCCACTGTAGTTTTGAAACACTCTGTATTTAGGCTGCGCAAAAACCTGCGCACAGGTCTCATATTGACACACCACAAAAATGGCGGACAAACACTGCTAAAAATTCTTCCCACCAATTAGCCATTTTATACCCGATAATGAATGTCTATCAGTATTAGAAATGATGCTATAGCTTCATAAGGTACGTGGTCATATAAATCGAATTTGAATTATGTATTCAGGTATCAGTTTCTATGCAAACAAACGTAAAATGGTTGTAAAATTTCGTATATTTTTTGTTTTTGTTGTTTCGTCATTTCCACGCTTTCATAACTTCAGTCTTTGCTTAGGTTCGATTAATTACTATCAACACATTGATTTCATTTTGAGTGCACAAATTGTCTTTGTTGGTTTTATTCCTCAAGTATTGTATATGGGGTGTACTTTGTTTTGATACTCAGCCGAGTTGCAATGATGATGACATTGTCAATGTCACATGCTCAGATGCTGAATAATCACAACATTACATCATTTCTATTTATAGATCCACATCATCATGGATTTCAGTGCCCTTGATGTTCTGGCTGCTGCAGCTTCATTGAAAAGCGATAACATCAGAGTCAATTCAGAAAGCGTCGAGGATGTCTTAGTAAAATCACCACAATATTCAAAGCACTCAGATTCTGCTGTCGATGGTATGGCATGTGATCACGAAATATCTGATACAACCGACCAGATCACTACAGACATCAAAGTAGATGGGGAAGCTGAGAAGAAAATTCAAAATGTAGCTGTTCACAATTCATGCCTGACAAACTTATTACGAACTAACAGTGAAGACCAAAGCGAATCAATTAGCACCACAGATTCATCTTCAAATAACAACAAACCTAATATATTAATTAAAACTGTAAAGCCATTGAGCACAGTCACAGTGCATGCTGTGAATAATGACAAGTCTGCTATAAACAACAAGTCATCTGAGACAGACAGATTGCAGGTGGCCACAAACAATGGTATTAGGAAAGTGACAACAATTGGCTCTACAAAGCCAAATCAAACTGGTATAACAACTATAGGCTCACAGAATGCCAACCAACAAAAGTCAAAGATAATATATCTAAAAAGTAACAATGCAGGATTGGTGCAGAATCTCTCTTTGAGCAATATTGGAGCATCAAGGACATATACCATTGATGGCAAAAGGGTAGTTGTTTTAAAAAAGAGTGATTTGTTGAATAGCAATCTGGATCCATCTCATGTTAAAGTCATTAAAGGGGGTACAACTTCAACAAATGCAATGGCTGCTACATCAATAGCTCCTACAGTGGTACCTCTATCAACATCAGTGCCATTATCAAAAACACATCCAAAGATATCTAGGATTATAACACTACCAAAGGCATCTGAGGCAAGCCATTTAGGAGTCAACAGAAAGGATGGAATTGCAGGCATCAAACCCATTGATACAAGGACTAGCATCGTATTACCTCAAAAAAATATTCTATCATCAACAAATGCATCAGTGGTTCATGTTAATTCAACATCTAAAATAATTGTGAAACCCAATACCACAACAATGAATGTGACTAACCTCCAAGTTCCTACCCCACTCAGTCAAAGACTTAGTACTCATCTGCAAGATTCTTCAGGTACAACTAATGAACTTCATATGAATAGTTACCATGCAATAAAGACAAATGGCTTAAACATTGGTGCTCAGCCAGTGAATTCTACTCAGCTACAAACTATAGACTCAAAGACAGAAAATGTGATTGGTGAGTCATTGAAGTCTACATTTGTTTTGGACACGACATCGTCAAATATGGATGTGCCACAGAAAACGCTACAAAATGTTCCTTCATCAAATGAAGACACATCAAAGTCTAAAAATACAGACAAAACAGATATTTATACAAAGTTATCAAAAGTTGACATGGAGCCATCAAATCTGAATACAAATGGAGATACTTCAAAGTCAGAATATACAGACATATCAAATATAAATACAAAGTTACCAAAAGATGATATAGAACCATCAAATCTTAATACTGATTTAACGAATGTGGACATTCAGACACAGAGTGAAACTCTCAATTCTTCAAGGGGAACTTTCACTTTTAATAATAGTCAAAACAATATTGAACAATTGTCTATTGAAAGTGTTTCAAAGAACGCCTCAACTAGCAACGTAGAGCTCCTTCCTCAAGCAAATGCAACCTCCGTCTCTACCATTCCCACTGTGTCTACAGCTTCAACATCAACAAGTGCCAAAATGACGAAGATCGAAAAATCTGAAATTAAACCAGATATAACATTAAACATCCCAGTGAGTACCAACAGCCAAGCATTTAGCATACTGACCAATTTTATGAAACCTATTCCAGCAATGATGTCATCTGGTACACCTGGAGAGGTTTTACTGAAGCCTTTACAGACAGGAGTCTCCTCGACTACTCCAGTTATGCCCAAAAGGCGAGGAAGACCATTGGGTGCAACAGGTAGCAAAAAAGTTACATTAAATAATGGCACATTTGGCCAGTTGCAGAGTTCAGTTCCTCTTAGTTCCATGCAAGGAAATGTAAATTTAGAGACCTTGAAAACTGCCCTTCAGTCAGGATCACCCAATAACAGAGTGAACGTTAGAGGCTCAGATACGAATCAAGTACAGTTGAAAGAACCTGAAACTCCACAGTTTAGCCCAGAATTGCCTAACCCCACTGGTTCCAATAACCCAATCCAAATGGGGAATTTCCTTGTTACTGGAATGAAAAACATTAGTAATCATGAGAATCACACACCAGACATGTTCGTTGATGAAGATCAATCGGAATTGACTGTAGCTGAAGAGGAAGTGATCACAGAAAAACCAAGTCGGAAATCAGAAGTCGAGGAATTATTGCTACGGCGTCAAAACTCAGAGCTCATAGATACAGGAAACTGGAATGAACAACTTCAAGATCACAATTATTTTCTTACTAAGCAATCTTATATAACTAAAAAGACATTAGAACAGATTGATGCAAGAACTAGACGAATAGGTGAAGAAGAACACATTCAATCGAGAACCAAAAGCATGACATTTTTTGGCAGACCAGAAAAGAATAAAAAAGAACGGAATATTACGTATGACATGGAAGACCCAAGAAATAATCGTGAAGTGATCAAACGTAAAACATCAGACGGTAAAAAGCGTAAATATATTAGGAGGAAACCTCTGAAATCTGAGCTAAGAGCTATAGCAGAGTTATCTAAGACTATGAAGCAAGAGAATGAGATGGAACTTGAAGAGGATGGGGTATCGTACCCCCCTGTATCTCAGTTTGACTCATCCGTTGATGATGCCAGCTTTGACAGTTCCAAGGAAGAGGGAGCAATGGACTTCGATTCATCTGGACCCAAAAGCCCATACAGTCCTTCAAAACATCGGTCTCCTAGGCTCAAAAATAAAAGCTATGTCAAAATCACTGGAAGCTTTCAGGACAATTTTGTTTATTTCGCTACTACAAAAAAGCGAGAGAGTAAACGTAAACTTGGAAAGGCACCTGAAGGCTCTCAAATAGAAGGGGCCCCAACAAATATCAAATTGAATGACAATGAAAGTTTGATTCCAACACAGATGCATCTTCTCCAAGATCTACAATACTACAAAGAAAAATTCATGGCATCTCAGCTGGAGAAAAAAGCTCAACTTGAGTCTCCAGTCCCACAGCTATATGATATTCCAATGCCCAATAATATTGCCTCAGCCTCAGATGTACCGGATGCAGTTACTAGTGAAATTGTAGAGGAAACCATCATGGATGATTCCAGCTATATTAACCTAGGTAATAAATACGTATTTGCCTTATTCAGTGAGCTCCCATGCGTTTAGAGCAACCAAGTGCTGTGTCTTGTTAATAAGTTGATAATGACCCTTTCTTGGAAAGCTGTCCAAGTCAAAAGCATGAAATTATTGAAATATTTTGACCAAAATAGGTAAAAAAATGCACTTTAATGAGAAAAAGGGAAATCACTGTTATTTTTCAATATACAATCATTCAGAAATGATTTTTGAATTCCTTGCTCATCAATTTAAATGTATTGTTAATATAATGGAAGAAATAAAAGGACAGCAGATTTAGTCATGCTGTGTTTGGTTTCAGGTGACCAGTTCACGAATCGACCTCAAGATGGCCTTGGTGGAATTGATCTTGAATCTCTTGGTTTAAGTCTCACACAGGAACAGGTATGACATTAACTATTTCAGCCATCCTCAGAAAATAGTTGAAGAAAATAGGTTCCATCTTCTACCAAAGTAATCAAGTGAATTTTGTGAAATTTAAAAATGTATAATTTTGCATATATCTTAAGATTTTGTATTGTGTGTATGTACTGTATGTACACATATGTAAATCTGTATTGCCCTCTATGTAAAGGAGATACAATGATACATGTATACAGTGTACAATGAATATGATGCGAATATAACATTAATGATTAAGTGAACATAGAATATAAATATGTGCAACATATTACAACACACTTTTCACATTAGTTGAGTGCTAACCATCTTCCCTGCAAGGTCGATGTTAGCATCTCATCCAATGATTGATTGTATCATTTTGGTCACTTTCATGTGGATACTTATTTTTTTTGCTGTATTGCTTTTTTTATTTCAGGTCACCCAGGTTATGAGTGCCATATCTTCAGATCCAAATCTTCTTGAGCAAATGGGAGAACATTCTCAGGTTATGAGCCCAATAGAGCAACAAATTGGAGATCAATCCCAAGTGATGAGCCCTTTAGGAGAGAGCATGGGAGAACATTCCCAAGTGATGAGCCCTATGGGGTCACAAATGGGAGAACATTCACAGGTGATGAGCCCCATGTCATCACAAATGGGAGAAAATTCCAATGTCATGAGCCCCATGGCATCACAAATGGGAGAAAGTTCCAATGTCATGAGCCCCATGGCATCACAAATGGGAGAAACTTCCCAAGTAATGAGCCCCATGGAGCCTCAAATGGGAGAACATACCAAAGGAATGAGTGCTTTAGAACCACAAATGGGAGAACAATCTTTAAAGCAAGATCCCTTACCACCTGTAGACCCTCTTTCAGATAAAAAGGCCTCTGATCCTGTATTGGATTCATCAGATAGTGCTCAAAACATTGAATCTTTGACTCAACTTAAGACTTTGAGTTCAGAAGTTTCTCCCCAAAATTCTGACCCTAAACAAGATCCAAAGCTCATAGGCACAGTGGACGAGGAGTCAAAAGAGAACAATGCTAAAACTGAAATACGTACCCACACAGATGACCCCTCTGCAGAAGTTACAAATGATTCTATTGATAAACTCACTCTGCACACAGAGCAACAGGACACTGTGAATAATATGCCACTTGTTATGGATCCAACTATCCCTGGCCATGACAATGACCCGATAAAAGAAAGTCAGGAAGCACCAAAGAATGGACTCACTGGAGCAACCATTGTAAAAGAGACAACTGTTGATATGCAACTAATTAGTGTTACTCATGAGGTATCTACACTGGATGAGGCTCCAACAAATGGGGCACCTGTTGATGACTTAGCAACTGGTGCATTAGATACTTCAGGTAAGTCATACTGTAGTGGTACCAATTTGTAATGATTCATTTTGTGTTCTCCCCAGATGTTGTGCCCTATTGATACTCACAGAAAGGAGAAAATTCCCCGGTAATGAGCCCATTGAAGTGTCATATTGGAGAACATGCTGAAATCCTGAAAATGATATGCCATCAATTTGAAAATCTGTTCTGAATAGAACATAGGGGGAGGTCAAACCTGGGTCATTGCACTTGCCATTTGTTGTTTGATATGATATCATTAAGTGTATGTGATAGTTTTGAGGTGTTTTACATGAAACCTATCATATCATGATTCTAGGCAATAATTTACCCCCAAATATAGTACATGATTACATTGTTAGTTAAAATTTCTACAGTTTTATGTCAAAATCAAGAAACGGTGACATATTTTGATAGTCTTAATCTTTTTGTGACTGGATTTGGCTGATAGTGTCTGTAAAATGTAACTCTTTTACCATTTGGAGACATCCAGGTAGAGACATCCAAAACTTTCCAATGAACCATTTTTTGTAATCAGACATTCACCTTACATTTATTCCTTTTCAGGGTCTACTTCAACTGAACCTGTGACTTCTCAATGTACTTCCGTATCCATGCAGCCCTCAGAAAATACTACTGCACCAAGCATCAATTTGCCTCAAAGTGACAGTGTGCCTAGCATCATCACTGTTCCTAGCAGCATCAGTGTGCCTAACAACATCAGTGTTCCCAGTAGCATCAGTTTACCTAGCAACATCGATGTGCCTAGCAGCATCAGTGTGCCGAGCAGTATCGGTTTGCCTAGCAACATTGATGTGCCTAGCAGCATCAGTGTGCCTAGTAGTCTTGATGATATGAATACTTTTGACAGTATACTTCAATCAAAATACACGGACAATAAATCTAACGGCATCTTATCAAGCTTTGGTGACACTACATCCAAGTTCAAAGATCAGCTTGGTTCGACAAATGATCTTGACCTGGATAATATTATCAACGATCTAGAACCAACTGCTTTGGCTAACATGAAAATGATTTTCCCCGATCCAAAATCTAGTGACTTGGGCATGCCAAATGTGCCCCAATTGCCAACTGATCTCAACTCGATTAGTCCTTCTATGTCATCTATACTAGAGAGTCCTGCTAAATCTAGCCAAGAGCTGAATATGCTGCTTGGCAAACCATCAGACTCACCAATGAGGAACTTCATGGAGAAACCTAGTGGCCCAAAGGTTATACCACAGATTACTCGCAGTTTAGAGTTTGACGCAGCGTCTAGATTAGACCAGGCTGAGTTGTTTCCTGATATGAGTGCACCTGATATTCCACCAGCTAGTGACGTAACAGTCCCAGAGTTATGTGTCGTGAGCATGTACTGGAATGATCTGCCTGGTTTGATGATCAATAATAAACCATATGTGAGATTAGTTGATATATACAAGCAGGTTCTCCCAGCAAAGGATACATCAATCTTGAAGAAAAGATGTCAAACTCTAGGCTTACCCATAGCATGCTGTAGCGAGATGCAGCGTGATTTCCTCGTACGTTACGCCAATGCTGCTCAGTCGAAAAGCACAGTAATCGTTGTTAAGGAGGTAGCTGAAGAGCTGATTGGTTACTACTATAATCCCAAACCTAGAGCTCTATCAACCAATCGTAGTGAATCTTCTGAGCATCATCCGGGTGTTCTGTCAGGAGATGAATCAGAGCATCACACAGGTGGTAAATCTTACCCAGGAGGCAAAGGAAAAGGCAAGGGTGGGAAAGGCAAGAATAGGCATGGTGGGAAACATGGACCTGTGAAGGACAAAACAGAAGGAAAAACAAAGAGGTAACTTAAAGTGATATAAAATCCATAATTTAAAATGATTAATATTTGTGTGTCGAGGTACTCAGTTAGAGTTTGCCTGGTTACAATTTGGTGAAAATTGTGAGATTTCCTTTAAATGTAACAGACTTTTGTCTAGGAGGATCATTTTTTCCCCTTTTTTCTCAGATCTTAGCTATGTAAAGGAAATAACCACTAACTAAAAAACTAAACTAAAAAATTTCAGCTCAATCCCTAAACGTTTAGACCCCCCCCCTACCGCATTTTCTGACGCCAATTCGCTACCATGTTATGGGCATGTAATTGGTTATTTAATTGGCTTTAATAAGCACTAAGATCTGAGAAAAAGTTGAAAAAATGATCCACCCTACTTTTGTCATTTACTTTCCAACTCATAATCATCAATGGCATTGTAATAAAAGTATTCTGATGGACTGGAAATAATTTGAAAGGTGATGAATACCTCATTAAAATGCTCAAATCCATATTGTGTTTTTTTTGGTCCCAACAGAACTAGTGACATTTTGTTTATATAGTCTCCAACTTTTTTTGTGGATTTTGTTCAGCGTTTGGCATCTGTAACAAATGGCAGGTGGTGATATTTTGCAAGATAATGTCTTTTTAAATGCACACATCTGAAAATGAACCCTAGATGCTTTAACTGATGATGATAATATTTTTTCTATGAAATGAATATGAAGTCTATAGATAATCATACTTTTCCAGTGAGGCCGATGTCAAGCCAGTTATCAAGAGAGTCAAGAAGAATCTCCCATCTCCCCTACCTCTGAAAGTGTCAAAGAGAAACCGAGTGAAGCGCTTTGACTATGCTCATCCTTGCATAGTGGACAGGTAGATACTTTGTTTTTTAGTTAAATAACCAGGCTGTATCATCCCCCTCTTCACTCTCTTTAATGGTTTGCATTTCTATTAGCATAAGTCAAATTTGCTCTATGGCGGCTGGACAGTGACTCTATCTTCACAAAATTGATATAGAAAAATTTACATCGTACTGCTTTTCCCTATAATTTATGGGCTTCATTTACCTTGTTTTGGAGAAATAGGCTTATTCATCAAAATATCACATTTTGAGTTACCAAATCGGATAATACATAATCACATGTTGCAATTGATATTGAGAAGTGTGCATTTTATCTTCTCATGTTTAACAGCTTTCTCTGCTCAAGGACTATCAGTTTTGCTAAAAGTTGGTGCTTGTTTTTACCAAACTTTTGTTACTTAAGCAATGAGTATATATTACTGCATGCATATCAACTTGTTCAAAACTTGTGAATTAGCATACATTTTCACCATGCTTGCCCATCAGATGGTGCCACTTTCAAATTATGAATGTGATCATGATATCATATCTTAAATTTTTTGTTTTACAGTGACTTTGAAGGAACTGATTCAAGTGGAATCAAAATGAAGATTAAGATTCATTCAGATGCTGAAAACCCAAATGATGAGAACACAAAGCCAGTAAATCACTCCACAGAACTGTCCCAATCTGAAGCACATCTAAAAGAGTACGAAGCATTTTTGAAGAAGCGACAGCAAATACTGAGCAACAAAAAACTGAAAACATCCAAGGGTTTTAATGTGAGTGACAGTGAGGAAACCATGGATACCAGTTTTTCAACCAATGGGAGTGATACTGATGATTATTGGAATCCAGACACTGTGACGTCACTGAAGAAAAAAGCAAAATTGAGTCCTAAATCCAAACTTGGCAAAAAGGATAAGACTGCTATGTTGAGCTGCAAGAAACAGATACAGCTTTTGAAGCGGAAACAGAAGGACTTGTTAAAGAAGAAGAAAAAGTTATTGAAAATGAGAGCTAAAAAACGGAAATTAAAGCTGAAAGAGTTATTGAAAAACCAGAGGAAATCAAAGAAGAGGAAATACGTCAAGACTGGGTTTTACACAAAAGCAAGTAAAATGATGAGAAGACAACTTGAAAATGGGAATATGCTACACGTATCTGTCCCATCCCATCTTAGTGATCGGGGTAATCTACCACTTTCTGGGAATGCCGTACTTCATGTGCCCATCAATGATGGTGTAAATACATCCTCCAATCCTATTCAGCCAAGTGATAACATTTCAATCCTTCATGGACAAATGAATAATGTCATGGAAGTTGTACCTAATACAGACCCAAGTGCTTATCCTACTGTGATTGAAACAATAGCAAATGAAGAGACACTGACCACTAGTTTCCCAAGCCCTCCTTCAGTGATAGCCAATGTGAGCATCAATGACTATGTGCCCTCATCTGATGGGAGCCTCCAAGTTGGTGAAACATGTGAAATACAACAGACAATTCAATGTGGGAACATCACTCCCAAACCATGTATGGTTGAGATTGAAATCAAACGACCATTAGAGATTGTCCATCGGGATCGCACTCATAAAAAAGATCAACGGGGAATGTCTCAAGATGGTGACATTTTCCTTCACTTGTATAAATCTAAGAATGCCCCTTGTGTGCAGTGTCGGTCTTGTTGCAGTTTTTTCTCTCTGGGGAAATTTGTCGATCACCTGCATGATCCCAAAAACATGGATATTATTCTCGAAAGGAAAATCCCCCAGAGGCTGGAGTTACGATCTACAGACATTAGCGAACTTGAAATGAAGCAGTGGGAAGAATTTATCAAGTTAAGAGATGGCTTTGAGAAAAAAAGTCAAGAAATAAAAAAACAGGAAATGAAAAATCAGGAGAAAAAGAATCTGGAGAACAAAAGTGAAGAAACACAAAGTCAGGAAACTCCATCAGAAGGATCGCCTGATGTTGCATCAGTCGCACAAAAACTTAACTTTGAGACTAAACTCAGGGACAAACCAGTTAGAAAAAAGAAAGAGGAACCAGCCAATCAAATTACACGTCATAGTTCCAGGACTCGCAAAATTAAGAAACTCCATCCAATCGAAAGTTACGAATTCTCCAGTGTCACTTCTACCTCAAGAGCTGGTAGTAGTGGGGAAAAGAAAAACAGTCCAAAAGTTGAATTTTGTGAAACACAAGTTCCTGAACTTGAGTCCAAACTTACAAAAAGAGAAGCTGCAAAAGAAATGGCCAATATGCCCATGAACATCTCCCCCAGCAAGAAAATGAGACTTGAGAGTAGTGCAAAAAATGAGCAAACCAGACCAGATATTGTAGAAAAGCTGGACTTGAGAGTTTCAACTTCGACATATGGCACAAGAAGTGCTATGAAATCAAAAAATAAAGTATTGATTCAGCAAAACAAACATCTAGATTCAAGCTTAACTGCTTTGAATATGGACACCTAAATCTATATATTGTTACAAACTGTTTTATTATTGTTTTAAGATACCAAACATAAAGTTCTTGGTATGTTATATAACAGTGGACTTTTACACCCTAAATGTACATTGAAAAATTGTTATAGTTTTATCGTTCAATTTTGATTTCATTAATTGAAAAAGATGATACATTATCGACACCTAGTGTAATTGTTATCATAGTAGTAAATACAAGGGTTGTTCAAAAAGAATCCCCATGATAAATAACTTTGAGGAATAGTGTAATCAGGTGATTAGGAAGAATGATGGTGTATCTGGATTCCCATAATTCAATACACTTTAGTATACAGTGTCAAGAAATTTGAGGTGACCTTGATGGATTTACATGGCTCAGTTACATAATTTTCCATGTTTTTGGCCCTGTGTACAAGACTGAATAGCAGAAGCTGTTCTTTTCAAATTACTCTGAAACACAGGATATTATATGACATGTATGATGTACAGCAATTTTAATTACAATATGATATTTCTCAGAATTTGTGCATTTTTATGATAAGTGAAGTGTGAAGTAATCGCTGAAAATGTTTCCCATATTAATCTGTTAATCATGTTGAGATGTTACTTGTTTATCTAAAAATGATTTCATTTGATGGAGAGGAAAATTGGTAAAAGACCCATAGCCAACTATTGCTGCCAAGAGGGATTCAAATTTGACAATTTTGGCCCAAAATCACTTGAAAAGTGCTCAAAATGGGAAAAAACTGCATGATTCAAAATTTTAGGCTGGGGAGGGGGAAATGCTCCCCATTGGCTATAGGTCTGGGTAATAAATTTTAAAGTGGCAGCATAACTCCTATCAATATATTTAATGGTTTTGTCCATTGCTTTATATTTCCTGTAAAAGTCTATTTTGCTCTCTACCCTATTGTATTGCATTAGATATTGCAAATATTTGATTACTTGTTAAATTACATTGGAATATGTAATTTTTTGAATTTTTTAAAGGTATTCCATTTATAATGTACCAGTCAGTGGTAAGACAAATGTTTACAAATATTGTCTTGCTTTTGCTCTAAAGGATGAACATACTTGTACCTGAACCTTTACTGATCTTAAGATATCTCAAAACATTTTGAATTTATTGTAATGTGTAACTTGCACTATACATAGACATAGATTTTGACAGATGCAAAGCATGTACTTTCTTTTTTGTAGTTATAACAACTTTAAAAACTGAGTTTATGTAAAAGCTGAATTAGCTGCCTTTTGAAGTTGAAAAAAGTGGGAAATTCAAATTGGAATCATGATGCTAACTCCGAGTCTATGGATGGTGCAAATTAGAGATCATTTTGAAATAAAAACATTTTTGGGGTTATGTCATATCAGAATTCCAGGCCTTTCCCTAATGACCTTGTAGCATATCCTCAAAAGAGGTACACACCCTTTAGAGTCAGTTTTAATTATTTTCTAGTTATTGCCAGTTAATAATTTGAATTACGTTAGTTGAATTATTTATTGGATTATGATTGACATGTTTTACTATAGTGTTAGTATATAGTCTAATGCATATTTTAAGAAAACAAAATTACTGATTTTTGTGATTTTGTTTCCAACAGTTTTGTCAAACAATGCCATTATATTTTATTGAAACAATTTGTAATACAACTCTGAAATTACGGAAACTTATCCCATGGTCCGCGCTTCACAGAATGTTGCAAATTATGGTTATATTTCTCAATTTTGTCAAAGTGAATGAGATCGGGTTACAGTAAAATCTTACTCTCAATTCTCCACTCTTTTCAGTGAACATATTTTCTGAATGTAAATGTTCTTAGTAACATGCCAAATCCTCACAATTATTTTTTAATCAGTGGTATACACTATGGTTCCATAGTGGCTATCAAACGGTTTCACTGTAAATACTTCCTCAAAGATTTGATTGATTTTTTTGAGTTTTAGGTTATGTGTAGATGTATCTTGTTAGATTTTATGGACCACTCTGTATATTGTAATTTAATATTGTAGCAATGTAAATATGAGGTATTGTATCAATAGTGTATTATATGTATCAGTATCACTGGTGAGAATATGTAAAAATCACAATTGTAATTGTGTAGAATTGTATTCAATGAAAATTTTAAAATACAACATTATTACTTAATTTTATTCAAAAAGTAAATCATATGTAATGATTGTCTTTGTTGTTAGTGGTTGATAAAGGACGATTCTCGGTTTGGAGAACGAAGTTCATCAATCTAAATGAGCATTATCCCTGCTTCGGAAAAATTTGTTTTTTACATGATATAGATTTGAATGTCTTCTTTTGAATATTCATAATTTAATTTTGGTAATATTTCTAGATTTCTCGCAAAAAAATATTAGCGCAGTACACTGATGAACTTCTTTCCCCAAATCGAGACTTGTATTTTATTGAATCGGTCTAATTGAGCGTTATCCCTGCTTCAGACCAATTTGTTATTTTTACATCTTGTAGATTTAAATGTCCTCTTTTGAATATTCATAGTTTAATTTGGGTAATATTTCTATATTTTCCATGAAAAAATTATTAGCCCAGGAGACTGTTCTCCAAACCAAGATTCGTCCTTTGAGAATCACGTTGAAAATGTCTCCCCATCTTTCATATACCGTCTATATACCCAAAGGAAAATTATGAAAAGCTGGGGGATAATAATTTCAGCACCTGCTATCATGTACCATAATAAGATTTTTCTTATATTAGAGACTCATGCAGTACAAGTAACCTCCTCTATAGTAAAACCTACAAAGCGGAACACCTTTATAAACGAACACCTCTATAATTGGAACAAGTAAAATTCCTGTTATCCATTAATTAATTACAAATGAACCTCTCAGTGAAACACCTCCAAAATGAATCCCTAATTTGAGGTTCCAAAGCTGTTCAATTTATACAGGTTTTCTGTACGTGGATTTCATGTCACATTGTTCTTAAATAGTGTCTGTTAAAGCTGGGAACCAGCCAGCATCTGTCGTCTTCCAGGACATTGTAAATAACCTTATTTAAAGAGAGGGGAGAACATAAGGTATAAGATATCCAAAAATATGCCAAATGCATATGGTTTAACACAATCAGTTTGGTTTAATTAGAATCTATTGCACTGGAGGATTATCTGTTTAGATAATAAGATATAACACCCTCCGTAGCCTAAGGTATGAATGGTTCAGGGATACAAGAGACCCTAACCCCTGCATATGCATATTCCTGTCGGCGACTTTTTACAGACGTTCGTATACATATTTAATCTAGATTCTGGAAATGAAATGTCCCCAATGCCAAGAAAATATGACTTCGGATACTTCTAGGATGAAGAAAAGCTTTGACGGCCAATTTTAACGTTGTAATTATATCATAAATCCATCTTTAGACCTTGTAATTGTATTATATCATCTAACATACCGTACGACATCAATTTGCACTTTGTAAGACATTTTACCGGGCGTTTTACGCCGATTTGGAGTAATAAACCAGATATATCTCTGACGATCTAGAGATTATATGATTACAGCTTACAACGTTTCAGCAGAAGTTAGCAATTAGCTTCATTTTTGCTATTGGTTTGGTATTTTAAGCGCTCGTGAAGTTATTTCTGTTCACCTATTTCAAGTTGTAAAGTCAAGGTTTCGTGAGTTTCATTTTATTGGCCTTCTTAAATATTTAAAGCAACCATGAAAATTACTGACGTCATACACCACTCCTTGTTCAAGTGTAGAGTCTTTATATTAAAATTCTCAGGGAGAGGAAACTGTGGTTAGACCTGTCACAGTACAACACGAGGTAATTGGTAAGAGGTACTTTATATTGAAATTGAGAAAAAATGTATGTTTTTGATAATAGGGGATGGCAAAGATGCAGGGCAAATTTTGGACAAGCGTTTAAAACCCTACGCACATCTGTCAAATAAAAAATAAAACTCTGGATATTTTTCTTGAAATAACGGAATTGGAATAATTCGGGTTCATTTCATGAAAAATCGGAAGAAAATCGGGATTGCTAGAAAATTACTAAAAATAAATCGGGTGAAAAATCCGAGCAGGTTTTACAAGAAACGATTCAAGATAAATTATGAGAAATATGGACAGGAACCTGATTTCCAACGTCGAATGATCAATAATGGGGCTCGATATGTTACCAAGCCATCGCTGTACCAGAATTTCGTACGGATATTTTACATTTTCAATATGAAACTATTTTATTGTGATTTTCTCCATTATCGTACTCTTGCACGTACCGCTCGAAAAGTTACTCTGAACTCGTGCGTTTCTAATTTTTGTCGCCAATCTCTTAAATCAAATGTCAAATTCTGAGCACCTGTACCAATTATTGTACTTCCTATTCTGCAATGGTTGAGGAAAGATAACTTTTCATTTGAATGAAATATGAATTCCAAAAGTGCATAGGGTGACACAAAAATTTGCATTTTCATATGAACTTGTACACACCTCTAAAATTGACCAAAATCATTAATGTTCAGATATTTTGTCCATTATCCATATTTCTTAAACATATTTATTTACATGATTTTAATGTTAGAATTCCTGACAATGTTTTTTTAAACCGATTCTAATTAAGCGACTCGAGAGGTATTTATAGACAAACATTCTTTAGTTTGCTATCGTTATATCATGGTTGAGATTTATTTCATACACGGAACATGAATATCCCTTTTATTCATTCACGATGCTACTAAGTAAACTATTTAATAGCTAATATCGTACTAATGATGATCGGTGTCAGACTCGGAAAAAGTTCTTTAGAGAAAAAGCAATTATTGTTCTCGTATGTTCACTGTGCTTACAATTACAATTATCTAAAGGTAATCTGCGAGACAGGTATATCAATCTACCAAGAGAAACGCTCATCTATATTCTGTCTAGTCAATTTATCAGGATCCCTTTCAAACTGTTGAATAACAACCTGAATAAATACATATTCACTTCATCCAAATTCCAATTGATATTCCTACGATAAAACTCGTAATTTCAACTCTCTGGATGTTTTCATGCAGTCTCGCGTGACGTCATTGACGTGAAGAAATGATCGGGTGATGAAAAAGCATCGTGACCATTTGCATTTTTGAGATATGACAGAAGTTTAGTGATATCTCTGATGTTCGTGATATTTAAATTTGCAACGCCTCATTGCTATTTATTGCCGATCTTTGGCATAATGTACAGGGTGACACAAAAAACGCCACTCTCCAATTTTGGAATAACTTTCTCAATAATTAATGATTTTTTATAATTTTTTTGTGTAGATAAAGTGTTCAATGCACGAACGATTGTTGCACTTGCTATAGCATCAACGACTTTGAGGTTTAGAGATATCATGCTTTCCGTCCAGGTATGTTCATCGTCAAAATTCAAAACAGCAAACATACCAATCTTTCTTGTGTCACCCTGTATATGATATTAAAGCCGTCTCAACTTCCTAAAAAACATTGTAAGCCGCCTAAGCGATGCCCATTAGTCGGTAAAAAACATGTTGAAGTGTTTCTCGGAATGATGAGTCTTACCGGAAGATGTAAACTAATGAGTTCCAAACATATACTAACTTCCAATCGCCATATGCTTTCAGCACCTTTTGTGAATCGAATGGACCAAATACCGATGAATGTTTGTTGGCCTATCAATTTACAAAGCACATAACCACGTGCTATAAACTGGCCGAATGCTTGAAAAATAGCTCAAGAATATTAGAAACAGATCACTGACAGCACTTGGCTTAGAAGAAGTGATCTTTGAACGGAAGATCTGTAAATTGCTATAATGGGAAGTTAGAACTACAGTAATATCTTGGGAGGCCACAGAGCGCCTTACTATAGTCACTATCTCAGATTTAAATTAAAGAAAGTCAAGCCAAAGTCACCAGAGAAAATATCTAATTACTTAGGACATAGAGTACTGTTGAAGATCAAAAATAAGACAAGCTCCGAAACACTAAAACCATAACAAAGGACATAGTGATAATAAAATCAATGTTACCTATAGGAAACATAGCTATCAGACTAAAATACACCAAGTTGGACTAATGATAGATTGTAGATGGACATAAAGATACTGTCGAAGTTAATGAGGTAAACCTCACTATAACAGATCCCATCTTGCTTCAATAAGCTTCGGACCTAGAACGTAGTGTCGATTGACCGTATGAACCAATGATGAATCGATCCGCCGTACGAAGATGACAACATAATTATTGCTATTGCCATGATAAACGACGCACAGGGATTTGTACACAGGACTCTTGGTGAAACGAAGAGAATGCAAGGAATGTAGGTTCAAATCAAACAATTGTTGTGAGAGAGACGTTGTCGAGTTGTTGTCGAGAGACACAGTTAATGGCAACTTACCAAAAAATAATCCGATACCCCCGGAATGACCCACAGGGAATATCAAAATAAAAGCAAATGGACGGAGTATGAGACACAGACGGGTAACATCCAATGAAGTGGAACAAATTCTGGACTGATGCAAATTACAGCATTAATAAATATCATCCAAACCGAGCCACATCTTATATACACAGATTGCGCAACGGAGGATACGAATACGGATACGATATCGCAGCTGATATAATAACAGTCAGTGAAGCGGAATATCACCGTCGAGACGCAAATGACAACATATAAATAACTGTGACAAATGAAATCCGTACTTTATATTGTTTTGTCCATCAAGTAGATATAACGTTGATAATTCTAACAGTATTTTTTCAAACAAATACTTTGACGGGCTAAAAAAGTATCAAGCATTTTGAACTAACTGCTATTAAGAGTTTTCCAACCATCCATAAGTAGAATTAGCAGATGCGCCAAAGGTAAACGGAGACATAACCGTGAAAGTAAAACATTATCCAAGATGATATTCAAAACCTGACAATATATTTTATAAATACGAGAGGTAAGCTCTATATGCAGTTGAACCTTTAAGTGAAGACGCCTACGAGATACATAGTAGGGTCTATATATACAGGCCCTATATATACAAATCAATGAAACGAATATCATTCACGAGACATAAATGACACTATAATTATCGATCATCATCATCTATAAAATATTGTTTACGAAATGATAGAGAAAAAAGACACGACATAGATCGATGCACATCGTAGCCCTAACTTGGATCACATTTAACAATAGGATTTTAAGTGAATTATACAATCGCCTAATTCAATGATCGAGAGATACAATACATTAACTAATGGGAATAGCATGTATTTACCTAAAATATGTGCAACACATCCGGACCCCTGTCACTAGATTAATAAAGTAAAACGGAATATCAATACTAATGTTCGCTAATAAAAGCAATTGTTATGGTTGGTACCACTTTATTGTCTCGTATTATTATTGATATAATAACATCTCTCCAGGCACCTGTACATGATATACAAGAACCACACCCAAGTTGGTATTAGATGTAGGGAAAATCTTACACTGTAATTTAATTAATAGTGAAGGATTTCAACAAGATTTCAAAAAGAAAACTTCATACTGTTATCGATAAAGACAAATGGATTAAGCATCTCGATTTCTTAAAGGAATAAAAACTAAATATGAACTTCATCTTGATTTTAAAGTCATTGATGAACTTTGAAACATGTCACCGCTGATAAAACTGGTATTAGCATCCGGGGTTAGTTCACTCATTTGAGATATAAATCATATAATTAAAAGACGCATTGATGATACTGTTACAGTAACACGTGACAATGTCGACACCAGTGAACCCATTATTGTTACTGAGAAAATGTATCCAAGCTGACGAAGAGGAGCGAAAAGCTAGACGGAGTACAAAGCGTCAAAAAGAGGACATTGAAAGTGGCATATGCAAAGCTGGTGATAAATCCCATGAGGAAGAAGATACATCGGGTCGTCGTGGTCCAACGCCGTCAACATCATTAAATCATCCCCAAGGGGACACAACAGCAAATACAATTAACGCCGAACATAAAACTAATCAAGGGATAAAAACCGCTGATGAATTATCTGACAAGAACGCCGGTTCTAAAGATACAAACGCTGATAAAAATAGTGGACCGATATCGGATAGTTTAAGTACAAGTTCTTCGCCAGCAACAGCTGGCAGAAATATTTCACCCTATATTTCTCATCAGCATAGCATAGGAGAAGATAAAAATAAACCTTCCTCCGACGGTAAATATTCAGATACAGCTAGCAAAGCAGTTGGTAGGTCCCGGTTAAGTGATTTACCTTGTGAACACGATTCATCGAAACGTTTACTAGATCGGGATTCTAAGCACGCTCAGTCCGTGGTTGTAAACACTGACGTAGATTCAAAGATGGGTTCGGACGATGGTAAACCTGAAAACAAATGCACTAAGATTCTTAAAGGAATATACCGTTTGATATCTTCATCAGTGGGGTTAGTCACCATATTGTTGTGTTATTCGTTTATTGGTGCGGCTATCTTACAAGCTATCGAGGCCCCACACGAGCGACAAGAGAAACATGAAATCATTCAAAGCAGAGATGATATAATCGGGGAGCTCTGGAATAAAACAAAAGAAACCGGACTTACCATTGAACAATGGAGGACATTTGCTCTGGCTGAATTAGAGGAGTATGAGTGGCACGTGAGGGATGCAGCAGCACATGGCGTCAGCTCTGACTCAACTGAGACAGTCTGGGACTTCTGGGGCTCAGTCTTCTTCTGTGCAACAGTGTACACAACTATAGGTATATTTTTCATGAATTTGCATCTTTAACTTGGACGGGATGTAATGTACGGGAGGGGTTTATGCCATCCACGTAACTTGTGAAAAGGGAATGGGTTGGGGTAACCTTTTAGACTGACTAGATCTACTTTTAGTCATATATTGTGCAGAGACACAATGAGTTGCACCTGCCTGTGTTATACCCTATCAAAGCCCTTGCATTTGAAGAGTGGGAAGAAGGGGGGGGGGGGTATATGCATTAAGCATTTTTCTTTTCACGTTAGAGATTGATTTGGGATATTTGGGGTTTGTTTTCAATTAAAACCGACTATAAATTCAAAATAGACAGTTCAAAAATTCGAACCAATATCTGGATCATTTCTTGTGAGTTTTGGAATTTTTGTTATGAAATAAGACCAATATTCACGATCAAATGTTGAAGTGAACATGCAAAATGGCGGCTGTTTGAATTCGAATTTTGTATCACGACATGCCCATATATGGGACAGAATATCGATGTTGCACTCTGGGAGCCAATCCTCCTTGAATAAAGGGACATATTTAAGCAAGCGATCTCGGGACGAAATTAATATTCCTTCGGAATTTGCCCCAAGAGGGGTCGCCGCTGGTATTCTACAATGTTCTATCAAAGGATTGGGAATAACGACGTAACAAGTAATTAACAATTGAGTAATGATAGCACGATACACGATGCCAAGCTTAATGGTATTAAACCGAATCATGCAATCTTTCCATCCAATCTACACTCTCCTTTGTAATTTATTGATATCAGTTGGTATCAGATAATAGGGGTTGGACCATCCTTTGGCATACACGCGAACGGGACTATTAGGCTTATATCGCTTCTCACATTCAACTAATTAGACAAAAAATAAATCTTGGTGGACCTAATCTAATACAGCCTTAAAGCTCACAGGCTGGTATCGAAAGATTTGTCCGCTGTGACGGAGCATGCTTTTTTTCATAAAAACACTAAGAATGCTTCACGATTTATTTTTTAACTCATATGTTTCGTTATATCAAAGATAATTACTTACTCCATGCAATGGATATATCATTTGCGTGTAACCTTCACTTCTGTTTGAAGTCCAATAACGCTAGGAGTAAAATCTATTGAAAACGGCGCCAGAGTATCAAACTCTAAAATGTACCATTTCTTTTTTAACTTTTTAATGGCATGATATAGTGACACGATAATATTAACATATGTTTTAAGCATAACTCTGAATGTATTAATGAGATATTTATGCATTGGGTCTTTTTAATTTTTTTAATAAAAAATAATATTAATATTTTTGTCCGCTGTGACGGAGCATTTTCACAGTTCACATTTGCAACTGCTCCGTCACAGCGGACAAAAAAATTAAACATTATTTTTTATAAAAGAATTAAAAAGACCAAATACATCAACATCTCATTTATACCATCATAGTTATGCTGAAACCATGTGTAAATATTATCGTGTCACTATATCGTGACATTAGAAAGTTAAACAAGAAATGGTGCATTTTGAAGTATGATTCTCCGGCGCCATTTTCAATAGCTTTTCTTCCCAGCGTAATTGGACTTCAAACAGAAGTGAAAGTTACCCGCAAATGATATATCCATTGCATGGAGTAAGTAATTTTGTATGGTATAACGAAACATATGAGTTAAAAAATAAATCGTGAAGTATTCTTAGTGTTTTTATGAAAAATAGCATGCTCCGTCACAGCGGACAAATATTTCGATACCAGCCTGTGAAGCTAGGTCTCAATTTTGACGTTTGAATGACGAATCATGAAAGTCGGTCATGTAAAAAATTCTTGTTCTAAAATGCCAAGTTAAGAAAGTTATTGTAGTATTCTTTAACTAGTCTGAGAACCTTTTACCCAAAAAATTCCAACCATTTCAGTGGATTCTGAAGGATTCATTCCTAGGAAATGGAAAATGTCGCTGAGGGCACAGTCAGGACATTGAAATGAAGGAAATCAATGTGAAACTCCCGATCGAAGGAGTATTTTTTGAAAATGATACCAATATCCCAAATTGTTTTATACCACAAGTGTATTGCTTCTTCAGTCATATAAAATATAATGATGGATCATCAATATGACATATGTGAATTATCCAAATTAGAAATAAAAAATTAAGCATATAAAACACTGTTTTATATGTCTCTGTGTTTTGTATGTCTCTGGCCAGATGCGTAAGTTTTGAAACGCCTTGCATGACTGGACTTGAACCTTTTTGTAAACTACGTGATGAATCCGGGAGAAAAGTACGAACCATTTCACGATTACATCCTAATCCACATAGAATTGAACCAATTTTGTATACCTTTGATTGACTTTGAAAAAGTATCGCCAGGCAACATTTGTTCCTAGACTACCATTTCACAATTACGTTTAATCCATAATGGTTCATTTAGTATTCTAACTACCCTTTCGCTTTTGTTCCTGATTTGATTGGTATGATTGTAGAACCATTCATTTCCTGTTGTCACAGCATTGACAGTTGCACAAGTCGAGTCAGAAAGTATTGGCTGAGTCATCACGACCATGTAATTAAAAAGGGAATGTCTGTAGACAGCTGAGAAATAGAATTTCTAGAGCTAATGATCTTAAATAATAAGATGATTTATTAGTTTACATCCATGGTACATCCCAATGTTCAGTCAGGCTAGTATTTAAAATTATATTGGCGGATTAGGCAGGGATAGCCCCCCCCCCTAAGTGGGCCAATTTTTAGGGCCCCAACAAGTACATATATAAGACACTTGTTGGTGTAAAAACCGGGGTCCGTGCATTATACCGAAACCCATTATACCGACGCGCATTATACCGACGCGCATTGTACCGACGCGCATTGTACCGAAAGGTGTTATTCCGAATGCCATAATCACTGTTCCACAACTAGTTACTTTGACGGAACGTCAATGTAAAATGGATGAACTTCCTGGTTACGAATTTTTTGCTTTCTAGATTTAAACCTCCTTATAAGCCAAGTTGCAGATTATAATTTGGCACAAAGCTAGAAAATATAGCCTAGTTTTAACAAGTTTCTTCGATTTGGAATTTGTTTTGTAAATGAAGCTGTAATTCATATACTAAGCCTATCGCTTTTGTTACACAAATGTTAGGATAGTGGTTAAAAATGCAGATCTCCTAAAGTCTGATTAAAACGAGACCTTAACGAAATTTCAAAGCTATACGGAAAAGCCACTATTAGATAGATGCCTTCACTAGGCTATTCTCTGTACTTGTGTCCGTGCCTCATTTTGAGTAGCGAGTTTAAACTCTTTTCGGAAACTTGATTATGTTTTCCCTGTAATATGAATTGGAGATATCTGACAAAATATGGATAGCCTAAAATATAAATTTTGTGTTTTTGAACATACGGAAATATCTTGAACACTTTGAAACTGAAGTACAGTTCCTTAATAGGTCGTTCAGTTTTCTTGTTTTTGTTCTACACAACACTTGTGTTTAATAACCACGCATAATTATTAATAAGCGTTATCAGATTATTTCAAGCTTATTTTCCTCGACGAATCTACACAAACCTATTCACTTACCGTTATATTGAGCGATCTAGATGCGTCAATTATAATTGTTTTCACTCATCGGCTTTAGTGGCCCGCGATAATTTATTTCATTCATTTGAGACGCAATTGATATATTGGCAACAAATCAAATATTCTAAATGATTCTTCTTCATTTTGGAATGTGTCTTAAATATTATACTTTACATTGGTCACGATTCTTGTACTTTCTGTCTTTACGACTCCCGTTCACATTTGTAAGAGTTGTTGATTGCATTGCCTTGATCGTTGGTCGAACTTCGATTCCAACTAAATCACTGGATTAATCAATTAAGAAATGTAATATCAAGTTTATCCAAGCAAATAATTGTAACAACTACATTATTTTTTAGCAGTTTTGACACCTAAGCAGCGTAGCCTAGTGGTGTAGACTGAGGCTACCTTGCGGTTGAACGTCGTGGGATACGGAGGTCCCGCGTTCGAGCCCCAGGTACGGAGTTGTTGATCATTGTCACTACGGACACCCGGTCCGAAGGTCCAACCGTTTACCGGCCCTTGGCATGGGTTGGTTCTCTGGCCGCTCTTGCCGGAGACAGATTGTGAGACTGTGGTTGGTTCCTCCACTAACGTGCTTTAGTAAACTCCGGGAGTCATATAGTATGGTAGCGGGCCCCCACCAAGGGCAGTAGTGGAACGACGCGAATCGGTCCCAGTATGGTTGCCTTGCAACTGAAGAGACTCGAGGAAATCATGCCATTCGCAGTGACCCAGAAAAGACTTTTGCTTCTTAATTTGACGTTTAAATTCATTTATTTACATACTTTATTTATATTAGTTTCCAGGCACTTATGATTTTTATAGGTCAAATGAATGAACGAGACATCTAGATACTATTAAATACATGAGATAGAATCAAAACCATAATTCGATTTATCGGACATATATAAAATAACACTTGAAAACACAACACACATAGCTGCAATATCCGTAGCATTTGGCACAGTCGGTTCCCACGCTCTATCATTTTGTGCGGTCATCATAAGATAAGGAGGTACGGTTGATTGGACCATGGGCTTTTAACAGAGTCAAGAAATTGGCATGGATACTTTGAGAAATGAGGTAGCAACAAAAGGAAACACCGGAAATAATCCAGAAATGTCCACACCATGCATTGTTTTCGTTAGTTATGGCAAGGTCCCGGAGGAAAAACAGCATTCGTGGGTAGCTTAATTTTTGTACCAATAAGAGCCATGACTCAACCAAGAACGGTGGGGCAAAGTCCCTATGGGTCCCAATTGAGAATCAATTCAAATCAAAATCAAATTGAGAATCAGATGACCTGCTAAGCCTAGTATTGATATGCCCCTAAATAGATATTAAAAGGACGCTGACTATTGGACTTAGTTAATGAGCACCATTTTAAACTGCCAATCAAAACATGTATTCAATGTTTCAAAATAATGAAACTGAAATATTGGGCAAAATAGTTGATATTTCGTTTGTGGAATGAAAACTGATGAAAGAGATAATATCAGGAGCCAAAAACTGAATAAGCAATTTAAACATGGAAATGATGCCAATTTAGATGTATTATATGAATGAAATGTTTGTGAAATGGTTAGAAAATGAAATTGTGAAAATAGTAGCGCAATTCATTCTATAGCGACGCAGTATGCCTTAAACATTTCCCAAACCTATATATTTTGAGACTATCCTTTTAATACTGCGTCTCCAGCATTCATAAAAAATGGTTTTCAAGATACACTACCCATGCAAATTATTTTTGCATCTTGGAAGCCAGGCAGTATCTGTGTGATTTTATAAAAATTCGGAAATGTTCTTCAGATATGAGCCCCCTCTAAATATTGGGTGCGGAGGTACGTTTATGGAGCTCCTCCGCACCCAATATTTAGAGGGGGCTCATATCTGTAAAACATTTCCGAATTTTAATAAAATCACACAGATACTGCCTGGCTTCCAAGATGCAAAAATAATTTGTATAGATAGTGTACCTTGAACACCATTTTTTATGAATGCTGGGGACTCAGTATTAAAAGGATAATTTCAAAATATATAGGTCTGGGAAAGGTTTAAGGCACACTGCGTCGCTATAGAATGAATTGCGCTACTATTTTCACAATTGTATTGATATTTGGTGTCAAATACACATATCTTGGTATATTTGAAGTCCCAAAACGGCTTAATTTCAGAAATATCCCAAATTTAAATTCAAAAATGACCGTTAGCTCCGCACCCTCCGCTCATTTGCTCCGCACCCAATATTTCCCACAGGCTCTGTCTGCATAGGGTGATATAGTCCCACGCGGAAGTGTACGTCATAAAACTGATGGGTTAAGGCAATGTGCCGTCCCACTGGCACGGATTTCGGTACAACGCCCATCGGTAGGCCTATGTTGGTTTTCGGCACAATGCGCGTCGGTATAATGGGTTTCAGTATAATGCGCGTCGGTATAATGAGGTGATACCTAAAAACCAAGGTGATGGGGGTAGAGGGGCAAAGTAATGATAGTTGGAACTTGATGCCAATAAAATTGAAATTCATAAAATATTGATTGTTACCTTGTTTGTAATACTCTTGAAAATACAATAAGATAACAGATAATCATTTATCATATGCTTTATTTCATGAAAATTATAAAATTTTGCATGTTTTGTAATTTTCTGTGTCATTGTACGTTTCTATTGAATAATTGTCTTCGTGATTGTATAGTTTCAAGTTTACCCAACCAAAGAGACTGTTCAATCAATGATTTGTGGGCCTCTATCTAGAAAAGGGTAATATAAAATCAAGTGGTATACACAAAACAACTTTCCTGATATAAAAAATGGAGAGTTGGGATTGTACACATGTAAGTAAATCTAATTAATATTGCAGTGCTTGGATTTGAAACACAATGGTTTTTATGAGGAAGTCATGTCATGTATTTATGTTGTTTTATCATTGATTTGTTAGTTTTTGTTATCATGCCAAATACAGATAAGCATATTTCCGGTAAACATTGGAAATAGAATAGTTTGTCTAGCTTCGTTCGAAAACGTGTCAGGAAACTTCGAAATAATAGGAAATGCCACAAAACTTTTGTTACTTATTAATCACAAATGTCAATTGTATTTTGCAGGGTATGGCCATATTGCCCCGGCAACCGGTGCAGGTCGCATAGCAACAATGATTTACTCTATCATTGGTATCCCCCTCTGTCTGATCGTCTTCGCTGACCTTGGGAAACTCTTCACGCGTATTATTAAATTCTGCTGGGGACACACCAGGAGGTACGTCATCACTGGACAGTGTAGGAGGGGAGAAAACATGAAAACGCGGGGAGGTGAAGTGTACAAAATTGACGATGAGTTTAATTTGCCTGTCTGGTTAGCCATTGCGATCACTGTGCTTTATATCCTTATTGGTGCAATAATGTATGTACAATGGGAGACTAATTGGGGATACTTGGAAGCATTCTACTTCATCTTCATCTCTATTAGCACCATTGGTTTCGGTGATATCCTCCCCGACCATCCAAAATACTTCATGCTGTCTTTTCTCTACGTGTTTGTTGGGCTATCATTGGTTGCCATGGTGATCAACGTCGTCATGGAAGCCTTGACGAAAACAATCGACATTGCTAAGGAGAAATTGGAAGAAGTCAGTAAGAATGTCATAGGTATTGATCTTGCCGCGCTTAATACTGATTCTGATTCAGAATCTGATATCAGTAAAGAAAAACAAAATGGCGACGATCCTGATAACAAACCAAGGATTGACAACGGAAATCACGAGGAAGATGAGACTAGGCGAGCTGAACAGAGAGCTCAAAGACGAGCAGCAAGACAACGAGCTAAGATTGCAACAGAACCCGAGAAAAATGAATAACATTATAAAATCCAAGTCTACTTTACCCTATTCCCGATCTCTTATTTAAATGTGTCGGTATGACAACCGATCGATCACAAATTAATGACAAATCCCCGTTTAGCTTTTGCTGGACCAGGCCTAATTCTTTTTACAAAGGCCTCGATTTAGAAACAAGTTATGTGTGCCATATCGTTTTATACATTTTAAGCTACGTGCGGTGTATACTCATTTCCACTACGGTGAACTCATTTCCGATCGTTGGAAATAAAATACAGAAGACAATAAAAGATGGCGTTAGCAGTACAACACACCCCGGCAAGACTTGTCGTTTCCACAACTTTTACTCTATGTTTAAGTATTTAGTTGGTGAGATGGTTGCTTGAACAGAATGCATAGAACTGCCCTGTTCTCCTTCGGGAGACAATCGGATTACAAGTTCATGTGGTTATGTCATTGCGGTATATCGCATGGCCAAAACAAACAAAGATACATTATTTGTGTGAACGTTTTATAGAAGTATTTGTACATTTTGTCATATCTACTTACAAACGCAAATATTTACCGTAATTGGATTTTTAATGCTAATGCCACCATTTGCCATTACTGTATCTATACAATTTGTTTAATTTCAATGTTGATGAATCTAATCGACAAAATGGAGAGTTTGCGAATAACCGTTAGCGATACCACCAATATACAATCTCATGCTCAGCTCCATAAAATACCTAAAATAGAACCTGTGTGCGCTATTTGGGTAAGATTTTTGTGGCTCTGCATTGGACTGAACGCTAGTCTATCAGCAAGCCTCAGGTGTCTAATTCTCTTTTTCTTTCCTACGCTTGATTTGATCTTCATCTTGAAGTTAGTTGTAAACCAAGATGATATTGTATGGATGTATGTAAAGTGTGATATGTGTGTGGGGGGGGGGGGGCCTTGATATAAGACCTTGTTACCTGCAGTATTATACAGAAAGACTGTCCTATGTTTGCTTTTGAATACAATTTGTTATTTAATGAGTATTTCTCGTTTGTTCATTTTATTCATCACCATGGCAACAATAATTGTTCGTTGAATGAACATTTTTATAATCAGTTTATTGGATAAAACATAGCTACTGGTAACTATTTAATAATTTTCAAATAGGTTTCAAATTTCAAATAGGTTTCAAATCCCACAGGACAAGTGTCGCTAGCTTAATCGTCATAAGTGCTGTGAAAGACGAGTGTACCATTTTGTCAATTACTACAAAAGGCTAACGTAAGCCCATCATGTTTCAGGTGAAACAGAAAAGATCCTATGAGTATCAGAATACTCATAGCATCCTATGAGTATCAGAATACTCATTTCATCTTTCTGTTTCACTCAAGCCTGAGAAATGAGATGTCATGGTTTATCATGATGCGAGGGCACTATTGTTATACCATCTTTATTGTATAAAAATTATATATTTATCATATCATCTTCAATATCTGACTAGAAATAAATGATTCATAGATTACGTCCTCTTGGAACAATCGCAAACAGGGGTAGATTAGGAAAACAAAAAGGTGTCAGACCCAGTAGGTTTTACGATCAATAACATTTTACTCCGTGCATATACATGTAATATTAACTTGAATAATAAATGTGACCGAAGCATTCGGAATAGTGTGGTGGCGGTTGTCTAGGGCCTGCAAGCCAAGGCTTTCCATCATTACATGATAGTAGATAACAAATGTGATGAGGACACTGGGATCGTTTCGGTATAACACAGATGACACTTGCCAAGTTGCCAACTGATACAATACAGCTGAGCACAGATCGATAGATGGAATTGGAACTTGATTAAAGTAAGGTAATTAATATGGCATTAGTACCATTGTTGTTTACTATCATACTTTAAATCTGCATTGTGGCTTAGTGCATTATAATCACGAACGCTCTGGAAATTATCAATAAATCGTAATTAAAGCAAAATCCTCTGTACGGGCTACTAACACAGTTCACGATACAAGCTGTAATTTTATTGACTACAACTTGCCCACCTGTACTTTGTTTGATTTGTTTTACGCAAAATAAGAATAGACTAGGTGCGAGTAGAAATAATCTTGATTTACGTCATTAAATATTCAAAATTCAGTCAAGGTGATGTCATATTTGAAATCTGCATGTAAAAGTACATCTAGAAATATGGTTTCGAAAATTGTTTATCAACTTTGAAAATTTTATTTTTTTTGAAAATGTGACTTCTTGTTCGGGTTGATTCTCCATAGACCCCATGATACAAAATCACAAAAAGTGAAATATCTTTTCTTGTATTGGATAGATAACATTTTCCTTTACTGGACATATTTCAGTTTGCATAACTATTAGATACATAAGGGTTATATGAAAATTGAATCATTAAAACAGATGTGATTTAAGTTTAAGGGAACTTTCTCCTATACCCGCCATGCTATCTGACCCGAACGAGCCACCTGGTGGTGAATCTGGTAACTACCTACTCGCATCTGCGTTATTGTTGGAGGTCAATATTGGGTTTGGTCGTTAGTTTCCTGGCACGAAAGTTCCTTTAATCGTGACACATTTTACACTGAACTGAAATTCTTGAACGGTACTGTACACATGTATTCAACGCTACCTTATTTGTTATCAACAGCTTATAAAGCCTCTAATTTAAAAATGGAAATACATCAAATACGGACTCAATTATATTTTTCAGTGAGTTATTGGATTCTGAACCTCTCTAAGAGGTAACACAGACGATTAAGATGGCTACTCCGGTGAATCCGTTGTTCCTGAAAAGGATGTCAATGCGAGAGAGAAAGAAAACACAGAGGAGATTAAAACTGTCCAAAATAGAACCCCATGATGTGGAGGAAGGACAAAACTCCAAACCAACACATCGTCGTAAACATCACAAACAACAACATGTTCACAATGAGCATGTTGATAAACACACGAAAAACATTGACTCTCAGAAAAGAAACAACCCTAATGCTATCGGGACGAGTTTCCTATCTAATGAACAATTAGTGACAGAGGATGATGGCACGGATGGCCGTTCCTCTAGAGGTAAAGATTCATCTAGCTGTTGCGGGCGGTTTGTGAGGGGATTATACTGGGCTATATCCTCGTCATTGGGCTTAATGATACTCTTACTATGTTATTCGTTCATTGGTGCAGCCATCTTTCAAGCCATCGAATCCCCACACGAGCAACAAGAAAAACACGAAATCATAAACACCAGAGAGGATATCATACAACAAATATGGAATGTCACTCAAGAAAACAACATGACAAGAGATCAATGGAGATTGTTTACCTTGGAAAGATTGGAGGAATACGAGGAACAGGTCAGCGACGCAATACTACACGGTGTAACATCAAACACATCGGTTCGAGTATGGGACTTTTGGGGGGCTTTGTTTTTCTGTGCGACGATCTACACTACAGTAGGTAAGCAACGCAAACAGGAGGTAACTTATAAAAGACCTGAGACCATTTATACTTACACAACAACTTACACAACTTTATATTTACCATTTAATTATGTTAGTCTCAGTAAAAGATTAACGAAGTAAGAATGAAGTAATTCACAAGACCCGAGGTACGGTCGATAAGGTTGAATACTAAGAGCTCTAACACAGTCATTCATTATAATGAACTCTAAATGACTTCATTGAACTCCAACAATGGGTTGGATTATATTACAGGCGAACCGTTCTGATATTACATAATCAATGTTTTAAACGTTTTGTTAATGTTGGTGACCCGATGTGGTGATCATAAATACCTGATCAGATATATCACGCCCGGTGATCGTACAAAATGGATGGAGGGGGGGGGATATATATACTTTTCTCTATTATGACTGTTTTAGAAAACACATCAAACACGTCTTTTGTTCTTGGTATCATATGTTCAGAATGAAATGAAACATCTATTTCAAATTGCAATGTTGCCATCCAAAAGAAGACCATTAAATTGACGATGTATAAAATTTTAAACTATTACGCAGATTCATTGATTATGTAATATGATATAGAGATGATCTTATATGAGGTTTTGATCGTGTTTCATATCTTCTCTCGGAAGGATTCGATATCTTCCCTCTTTCACTTTATTGCTCAGATACCTCAAAAGGATGCTTCCCCGAATTAATTTTACTCTTTTGGTCAGATATCGTTTGAAGATCAGAAACATGTGTTTTACATGTCCCTGAGAAGATGAAACTTATAAGTTATACCTGTATAACAGAATATTTATATTTACAGGATATGGACATATATCACCAGCAACAAATGGAGGTCGAATAGCAACAATGCTTTACTCTGTGGCTGGTATACCACTCTGTCTAATGGTGCTCACCAACCTCGGCAAAAATTTAACGAGCGTCCTAAAATGGTCGTGGAGGACATCAAGGCGGTATTACTACACGCGTAAATGTCGGAGACCTGAGGAAAAAGACGATGGTTTAGTAAAGTATGAGGAAGTGAATTTACCACTATGGCTCGCTATGGTTATTGCCATTACGTTCTCGATCATGTATATTCTCATTGGTGCAATCGTTTACGTCCAATGGGAGACAACGTGGGGCTACTTGGAGGCGTTTTACTTTATTTTCATATCAATAAGTACAATAGGATTTGGGGATGTCCTCCCCGAGCATCCCAAATTTTTCTTGCTTTCCTTTCTGTATATCTTCATCGGACTTGCATTGGTCGCTATGATGATCAACATTGTCATGGAGACATTTTCAACAACAATTGATATTGCTAAAGTAAAAATCGAAGAAGCAAGTAAAAAGGTGATAGGAATTGATTTAAACAGTTCTTCATCCGAGTACTCTGACTCTGATAGTGACTGTCTCGATTCTCCTGGCAAAAATAAAGACACCAAAGAAAATAACAAGTCTATGGATGACCAAATAAATGAAATAATGAAAGTTCATTGTGATAAAGACACGGACGATAACACTAATGTTGAAAGTGTTGGTCCAACAAAGGATGTAATCTTGACGAGAGAAAATTCAAAAGTTGCTTCGAGTGAAGAATTGAGCAAAGATGATGATGTTGGAAAGGAGTGAAACGAGTTGGTGTAAATCTAATTTATTGTATTTATTTTTTATATTTTGTAAGTCCAAAGTGGGCTGAGTTTGACATTAATGTTTATTTTGTATGATTCTAAGTATAACTTATACCGCTAGCACTAATGTATAAACAATAAATAAAAACAAACATATAAAATCATTAGAAAAAATAAATATTTTATTTTCATAAGTTCTTCACCTATTTGTAGATAAATACATGGACCATACTAAATATCAGTGTTAATTCAAAGAATAATTAAGAATAAAAAGGGACAATCGCCAGTTATTTTCTCATGGCTATAGGGATGCAATTAGTCGTTATCATTTTATCAATGGGACTTAACGGGACGAGTTGAGAGTAAGTTTCGAAAAAACATTTTGTCCATCTGCCTACAGTAAAACTTGAAAGTCCAAACGTTTTGACTTTATTTCAGGATTGTGTAAATAGTTAATTAGATTATTTAATTTTCAAACTTTTACAAGTGTTCATTTTGAATCAACAGAAAATTTTACAAGTGTATGGGCTAAAGTTACTAAGTTTTGGCAAACCCACATTTCCACATTTTAATCGATAGCTTGTACATTCGAATCGATATCTCAGTTATAATAATTTTAAGAATATACGGCATTTGAATGGGGTGCTTCGAATTGATTTGCATGCAGATTTAAGGGTAATCTTTTTAAGTCCATGTGTCGGTCTTCTAAAGTAAAAAACTTAAAAAACGCCGAAACTTGATGGCCAAATTCCATTCGAATTTGCATCTACCCCTTCACTCAGCCTTCACACATCCAACAACTTACCAGCTTATAGAGGAACAAGTTTTTATTGTCTCTGAACAACCCCAGGCGAACAACATGGTAAATATGAGATAAAATGGTTTATTTAGTATTTCCAGCAAATGTAGTCATAAAATTGACCAACCACTTTGAAATTCCTCAAATATTCTTTAAAACACTCAACGTTTTCCGGCTCGCCTTGTACATGTATTGGTGTGCACATGGAAATTGTCTGTTTCGAGTTCATAAGATGGCAGCACTAACTAATTGTTTTATTGAATTTCGGTAGGGAGGTGAATGGAATAGCTTGCTTTGAAAGTTTTTCACAACGAGGCTTGAGAGTTTGAATAGTGATCGGCCTGTGGACATTTATTATTCGGAATATATTACAAAATCTATGAAAGTAGTGACATAATGTAGTCTTGGATTAAACAAATGGATTAACGATGTAACAGACTATAATGTGTTAATGAGGTTTTAGGTCAACTTCAATAGTTGGCTAATGAAATCCAAAGGTAAAGGTGGTTGACATAAATTTTTAAAAATTAAAATTTATCCAGGTGTGAAAATTTCAAAATTCAAAAATGGAGCTTTATTCAGTGGTACAGACATTTTGGATGCTATGGATGTTAGTAATTTATTATTCACCGGATTGTGCATTAGGAATCGATGTGCACATCACAGACTCAGAATTACCTGGTAGGATTATCTTCAATACTTTTATTGAAGAAAACTGGATATATTCAATGGCTGAAGAAAGTTCTTCACAAGCTAAGAAGCTAGTAATACTCAATGACAATGGTAAAGTTTTGCTTCAGTCTAGGCTGTCATGTGATTCTTTGATTCAAAATCCAGTGTCATTTTTTATCCATTGTCAGCACAAGACGCTCACAAATAGAACGGAGTTGCCAATAAATGTACATATACATGGACAAAATTGTTACATGAAGCACAGGCGAAAAGATGAAATGCGAGAATCTAATTTAGTCACTGTATCGATAAATAGTCATAAATCAATAGGTGACTGTTTCATCCCTGGTGACATTTTAGCCCCTTTGAGAGATCATCTCCCTCTCAAATTAACGCAAGGTGTGATCAAATATAGATTGGAGAATAACAGGAACTTGTACATTAATTCCCTAACAGGTGTAATTAGCACTAATCATTCAATATGTCTCCAGGAAATTCCACTGACACTTTTAATCACACTAGAATCTCTTAATGACAAACAGAGGACAGATAGCACCACCCTTCTGCAAGTTATTATAAATCCCAAAATTGATAGCCCATCTCTGAGATTTCAATCTGAAGCTCATAACAAAATACGACACAGACACAAGTCAAGTAAACGATTGAAACGTGCAACAAATACTCGACCGAGGTTTCAAAAATCCCAGTATGTCGATTACATCAAAGAGGAACAAAATCCAGGATTGTCTGTGATCACAATCTCTGCACAAGATCCAGATTCTGGTCAGGCTGGCACTTTAACATATTCTCTCGAAGCAACATCTGATCGAAGGAGTGAAACTATGTTCACAATAGACCCAACATCTGGCTACGTCTCAACTGTGAAAAAACTAGACCGAGAGAGTATGGACAAGCACTACTTTCAAGTTATTGCGACTGATAATGGGTCACCCCCTCTAAGTGCAATTACTGCTCTAACAATCTATGTTGATGATGTCAATGACCATACTCCAGAATTTGAAAATCCAACATATGCCAAGTCTATCTCAGAGTCCCGGTATATTGGGTCAACTGTTTTAACAGTTAGAGCAACTGATGGTGATTTCGGCTCCAATTCTCATATCAAATATAGCATTTTGAATCCTAGTGGTGGAAATGAAGCATTTTTGATAAATGAGATCACTGGAAGTATTACAACCCGTAGAAATTTGGATAGAGAAACCCAGGATTTCTATAAGTTAGTAATTCAGGCCCATGATGATGCAGAAATCTCAAAGCGTAGAAGTTCCACTGCAGAAGTCGAGATAACTGTTTTGGATGAGAATGATAACTACCCTCAGTTCACTCAACGATCATACAATGTAGAAGTCTCTGAATCGATCGATCCAGCCCTGAGTCCTGTGATCGCAGAAATAAGCGCAACTGACAAAGATGATGGTTCTAATGCCAGACTGCGCTATAGCATCACTGGTGGTAATTCACAGGATATGTTTGGCATTGATAGTCTAACAGGTGACTTATCCATCCTAACTGATCTTGATTTTGAAAACACCCGAAATTATAGATTGGTAGTAAGAGCTCAAGATGGGGGTTCCCCATCTAAAAGTAACAGCACTAATGTACTTGTTCGAGTCAAAGATGAGAATGATAACACGCCAAGGTTCCTGGCACCATTTTTTCGTGAGAGTGTCTTAGAAAGTGTAGATGTGGGCCATAGTCTACTCCATGTTCAGGCATTTGATAGTGACAGTAACGATAACTCCGCCCTTATTTATACCATTGTTGATCCCCCTCAAGATATGCCTTTAGAAATTAATCGAGAGACAGGCTGGATTGTGACCAATGGGAAGTTAGATAGAGAAACCACTGAAAAGTATTCATTTCACGTTGAAGCCAAAGACCAAGGTATTCCTCCCTTGTCTGCAAGCACAAGTGTGATAATCACCATTCGTGACGTGAATGATAATGCACCAGTATTCTCCCCAAATATCTACCATGCTATGGTATCGGAGGAAGATTACCCACCAACGCTGGTTGAGACTGTTACAGCCACTGATCAGGATGAAGGAGAAAATGGCAGAGTGACATATGACATCACAGCGGGGAACGATCGGAGATCATTTGATATCGTAAGCAACTACATGGGTCAAGGACAGATTTTACTGGCAAAGAAGCTTGACTTTAAACGACAAAGCAGGTACATTCTTACAATTGTAGCCAGAGATGTAGGGGATAATGTAGACACGGCAACAGTTTTCATCAATGTCTCAGATGCTAACACTAAGCGACCTGTCTTCAGAGGTACTCCTTATAGGGCCCAAGTTGACGAAGATGTTGGAGTCGGTACAAGTGTATTCACCGTCTCAGCTACTGATGGAGACTCTGGAGAGAATGCGAGAATAACATATTCGCTTGATTCCTCAAACACTGTCTTCAGAATTGATGAAAATACGGGTGTGATAAGTACAAGAGAGGACCTAGATAGAGAGACAACCCCTGGATATACAGTAAGTGTAACAGCAACTGATAATGGACGTCCTAGAAAGTCTGATACAACTGATGTTGAAATCGTTATTAATGATGTGAATGATAATAGTCCTGAGTTCTCTGAGGATATCTACATGGGAAGGATTCCTGAGGATGCTGCAGTTGGCACAAGTGTTCTTACAGTTACAGCAACAGATCGAGACTCGGGTAATAACGAACAGATTTATTTCACCTTTGAAAATGGAAATGATGGAAATGGTGATTTTACAGTAGAGCCTACATTGGGAATAGTCCGTACAGCAAAGCATCTTGATCGTGAACGACAGGCTGAGTATGAATTAAAATTATTTGCTAATGACAATGGTATCCCAATGAAGTCATCCTCTGTCATAGTTCGTGTCACTTTAGATGACATAAATGATAATGCACCAGCATTTGATTCAGACCCTATTGACCTCTATATCAAAGAGAACAGCCCCATAGGATCAACTGTCGATAATATTGTAGCAGTTGACCCTGATGTAGGTGAAAATGCGAAAGTCGAGTATAAAATAGTTGGAGGTGAAGATGCAAATCTTTTTTCTCTTGTGACTAATCGGAATGAGCCTGCCGTACTTATAACAGAAACTGAGTTAGACTATGAAGGTCCAAAACGAGAATACAAAATTCTTGTACATGCAACCTCAAACCATCTGTTCTCTGAAGTAGACGTTATAATCCATGTACAAGATATCAACGATAACGTGCCGCAACTGCAGGATTTTACTATTGTGTTCAACAACTATAAAAATCATTTTCCTACAAGTCATATCGGTAGGGTACCAGCGTTTGACCCGGATGTGAATGATGAGCTGAAATATCGTTTTATATCGAAGAATGCTGAAAGTATACTTCACCTTGAGGAACGTACAGGACTTGTCAAATTAGACCCTAGACTCAACTCTGATGTTCCCAGGAATGGCACATTTCAAGTCAGCGTGTCGGGTAAGTCCAAATTATTTTTCAGAATTTTTTCATCAAATTTAGAAGCAGAATAATACCATGAATATTTTTAGGAAGAAAAATAACCTACATGTAATTTTACGAGTGTAATTTGATGCAAGTGGTAAAATGTTTCTATGGTTTCCAAGTTTTTCAATTTTGAACCTAAGTTACACATTACAAGGTCTCTAAGGACATCCACTTATATATTCAGTGTTAAATAATATTTAAGATAAACATGTCAAGAAAACAAGTCAGATGAAATATAATACACATCTTCATAATGGTCAATAAACATCAATTTGTACATCTTTCAAATACAACTGTTTAATTTCCCCTTTCATGAACATACATGTATTATTACATACAGGGTCTTTATACTGTACAAAAATGCCTCCCCTTTATACATTTAGTTAATTAAACAGACTGAGCGATTTCTCATTGTTTTTTGTCTCAACACGGATCAAAATCCCAACTTTATCTTTTTTAATTGATGTATGTCAATATTTCATCCTTTTGACAGCATGGTAGTATGTAATTTTCAAATTTTCAAGAGGTTGCTCTAAGGCTGGTGAACAATCTTTACAAATTTTCCAGAAACCTGGTTATGATCTTATTCATGAAAATGAACAGAAAGTGACCTTTTATCAGCTAGACCACAAGGAGACATTATATTATAACCATATTTTCTATTTTTCTTGCAAGGAGGAATTATTTTGAAGATGTTACAAAGAACTAGAATTCAGATCTCCTTAAATAATAATTTATGCAATTCCTTTCATATGCATGATTTTATTGATGTTTTTTCTCTGTACCATAGCACAAAGAAGGAGTAAAGATTAGTAGCCTTTTTATAAATTTTCTATTTTGTATTATAAACATTTGTCAGGGCTAACTGCTAGAAGCCATGCAGTACGTAGTAAATTGACCAAGACGTTATGGATGATAAGTGCTTGTTATCTCCATTTTGCATACTGATGGGAAATAGAGCATATTCACATGAATCCTGAATGTGTTTTTCTTTGTATAAGTTCAGCCTCGTGCTCAACTTCAAGAAAACAATCTCTTAGAAATTTTTGTGAGATTAAGGTAGTTCTGCAGTTTCACAAAGAATAGTTGAAGATATGTCCTACATGTATTCTGATTTATCAAGAGTCCCTCGTTATCTTATGTTACAAGAGACATATAACAGGCTGTGGCTTGTATTTGGAATTCATGGGTTTTTGAGATTCTCAATTTAATGGAAATGAAATTTCTTTTTGGGTGCTAGGAAATTTTTGAATTGTTGAGAATTGTCAGGTTTTTATCATGTCATTTTCTAAATCTTGTCCTTTGTGATGAACTTATTCAAAAGCAGTAGTTGTTAAGAGGTGGCAGTTATCTTGACAGATGTAAGGTGTGAAATTGTTTAATTACTTACCTGTAATTAACCTGTTTAATTACATAATTAGCAATTTGGCAACTGGTATGTTATTTCACTGCCCAGTGATCACTAGTGTAAACAGGTTAATAAGCTAAGTACATCCATTCTCTCTTATCTAGTGTTACAACCACATGGCGCAGTTGTAACACTACTTAAACATCATCTTAGCCAGTGATTATTGTCACACTGAGACCTCATTGGCATGGTGTGTTAATTCCATATACAACTAAAAAGTAATGACATTAATGTCAAGATGAGGTTTTATCCCATTATTGTTAATCAAGGCACATCTGGAGGTTCCCACCTTGATCCAACCATAATATACTCTTCAATAAATTGATTTTGCTTCTTTGAAATTAGAGGGCTTTATTTCTATGCACTGTCACTCTTATGGTATCTTCTTGTTGGTTTGTTGCAGTAACATAATGTGATTTATATAACAAAATCAACTTTCTTCAAAGGATTTCATTTATGCTTAAAATCAATGGAAACAAATGAAATACTCTTGGACCAAGGATGATCAGAATGATTATTTGTTATTTCTTGTGTTTCTGTTTTTGTTTCAACAATTCTGAGCCATCACATGTTTCTCCTTCATAGGCTCTAGCTCATGGGGAGATTGAAACTTGATAAATGTTAACACAGTAGCATAAAACAAAACAAACAAAACAAAAAGCATTTAGTCTGAGTAAAAGATTCTATTTATACATAATATTGCACACTTTTATTGGATTGTAATGCAATAATAATAAAGAATTAATTAAATTGAGGGAATATTTAGTACTGAATGATAGAATATTTATTTCTGAACCATTATTCAAATGATTGTTGAATTACTGTATTCCCACTTGATTATCTCCTGCGGGAGAAGCCTCACTCCTTTGGGCTTTCTCCTTTGATAGGTATATATAATCAAACTTTAGATCTGAAGAAATAGCCAACTTGCTAACAAGACTTTGATGTATTGATTTGTTACTGTTTATCATTGTTCTGTATTCAGCTACTCCTCATCAATCTTCTACTCAACTATGTCCACATTCCTTCTTTGGTCATTCATGCATTTTTTCGAAATTTTGATTGCTCTGGCATTGTCTGGCTTTCTACATCATTTAAAGGATCAACTTCATGCCTTTTCACACTATTCCCTGCTTATTCCACCATTGTTCTCTCTATTTTGCAACATGAATATTTGATATTTCTCTCCTGGGTTATGATATTAAGGATGCACAGGTGTTTCCATCTGAGAACTCAAATGATGGATGGAAATTGAAGTTCTTTGGAGCATCTTTGAAATGAACAATTTAGATGCAACATTCTTTGGATTCTGTAATGTCATTAGTTCTGTTGAGTTTGATTTTGTCTTGGGTGCATAATATATTTTGTTAACTCTTAGATGTCATATGATAAATTAGTGATCATTCCATGCTACACCAAAACTTTTTCCCATTGGTATGTTAGAATTTTCATCAAAAACTGAATAATTTAGGATTTTTAACCAGTATATATGGCTCTAATTTTGTACACATTTTTGACGATTTTCAAACCAATGTCTGGATCTGATGAAGATCTGTGATATTCTGTTTCATTCGCAGCATCTCGCTCACTGTTGATCTTAGCAGTTTGTGATTGAAACCAATTATCCAACAGTAGGTGTGATCGCCCTGTATTTACAACTGAGACCAGATGCTAGGGTTTCAATTTTACAAATGATAATGTTAACCCAGACCTGCTTGTCTGTTTTAGTGTATAATTAAATGTAATGTAAATTACTATTCCTAAAACAATAGTAAACTCATCCCTTTTACTTCATTGGTCGCCCATTTGTAAAATGTCTGGTGGGTCGTACTTTGAAACATGAAATTTGATTTAAAAGGAATGAAATTCGAAGGGAATAATTTGACAGATCTTTAGCCCATACTCCACATTGTATAGAAATGCAGGAAAATTAAGTTCATTTTTCAAATTTTGCTGAGAAATAACATAGAATAAATAAAATCAGGTTGGTGTTTTAAGCAGACGGATAATGTCCCCCTTGAGATATTTTGTCCTCATATTCATGGAATAAATTATGATACTGTAATATTATTGTCACATTCGTAGTGTTTGCCTCATCGATCAACTCCCTAATAGTCTAATAGAACAATGTACCATCTTTGTAATATTCTTTTGGGATAATATCAAACTTTAAGATGTGAAATAAGTACTTGGAGCTTTCTTACAAATAGATTTTCCTTAAAACAATGTGTAGCTTTTCTCTAAATTTTATAAATAACTTCAAAATACTTTCTCGTTTGAGAGCATCCATTCTTAATTCTACCAACAGAAAAATGTTTTATTTTTAACAAGTTAACAATTTTTAGCATTGAAACTGGACATGTTGAAGCATGGAATTATTGATTTCTACAATTATGTCACAGTCATAGGCCTATTTAAACATTTTCATTGCATGACACTTCATATATGATTAATGAATTTGGTTATAATATTATATATATGTCTATGTAACTGTGAACAGGTTAATGTCATGAATCTCAATGATAACCTGTGGCTTATGTTGCATTAAGTCACTAGACCCCCCCCCCCTCTTCTCTTCTGATAGATGCTGGAGTACGGGGGGGGGGGGGTACAAGGGCTGCAAGGCTACCTGTGCCTTCACTGAAATTAACTCTGAACAAATACAGTGCTGTGAACCATTGTACTTGAAAGATACTGAGAACAAGAACAAGTAACTTGGGCATAGACTCTTGTCATGCCAGAAGTGAGCTTGTATGCAATAAATAAGGCATGACTCATGGAGAGTGATACATACATCTTATGCATAGGAATAGCTCATTATCTGAGGCTAACAGACTAACCTGCAATAATGAGTTCGCTTATTCTTCCGAGTTTTGTGCTAAAATTTGAATAGAGTATCTCATTTTTTTCAGATTGTCGTAGAATATAGAATTTACGTTATGTATTTCTTTACTTTATTCCTTGCTGATTTGTTTAATTTAGATTTCAAAATATGACCCCCTCAACAATTTACTCCTAGGATTAGTAATGTAGGTTTTCCCTTTGAAAGGGTGTTTGGTTGGCAGCATTTCAGCCAGTTCTTTCTTTGGAGAAGCGATCAATGCTTTTTCATTATTTGTCGACACAGTATTTCCAATCATAGATTAGAGGTATTGAGAATAAGTGAGCAATAAGCTGAATGCGCTTGGATTATAAACTATGCATTGAATTATTAAGGGGATTTTTGGTATCATAAGAGAATTCTTCTGCAAAGAGCATAGAATATGGCTTTATTTCTTTTTCATTTGAAATGTCTTCTCTTGATTTTCACTTTGTTGTGAAAATAGGTGAGCAACATTTTTCTTTCATTAACGGCCATTTTAATTTCAAATGTATTTGACCTAGTTGAAGACCATTCACATTTTTTCTATATTTACTGTTAATGTTTGCCATTTGAGTTGATATCAGCCTACAAGTACAGCTACCTGTATAAGGAGTGATATTACTATTACCTGTACAATAAATTTCCCTCTTGTTAGGCATATTCCCTGCAATATCCCTCTAAATTTGATTAAATTGTTTGATT